CTTCAGGCAGTCTTCAGCTACAACTCCGGAACTGTCTAGACTTCTACCCTACAGGTCTACAGTTCGATTCCAGTCTATCCTGTGCCCTACGACAATCTACCTACCACTGGCGGTTCTACAGGTCGCAGGTTCAACTCTTCGAGTTGACGTARATATTATACACAGGTAAGTTGGGGAACTAGGGATCAAGCCCTGGGATCTGCCTCAGCTACCACGAATTGGTGAATACCGTTTCAGAAAGGATTCACAAATCTCATTACCCCCCTGTCCAGTCCCACATCCCAACCTCGTGTCCCAGTCCCGAGTCTCAATCTTGAGTCCCAGTTCCAAGTTGCAACCTCAAGTTGCAGTCCCAGGTTCCAATCTCGAGTCCCAGACCCAAGTCCCAGTCCTGACTTCCATTCTGTGTTCCGTCAGTGGTCGTAGCCACTTGTACCATATTCACGAATGCCCCATAAGAGAGTTTTTGTTTGTAGTACTTTGTACCATGATTACAGATGCTTAGGCAGGGTAGTTAAGTAGATTGTGGTAGGAAGTCCCGTGTAGATAACAGTTATGGATTGAGGACTCTATTTTCAGGAAGGCACCATAAGCTTCAGCCAAGATAACAAAAGTCGTTCGGCCAAGTGTCAGTCAGCCCAACCAAGCAGCCATATCCAAGGAGAATCCGTAAGCTTCTGGAAGCAGCAAACGAATGCAAGGGAACCAACCCATAACCAGCAGAAGAAGTCTGGAAGGCAGATCAGCAATTACAAAAGTCCAGCAACACGGACATCAACACGTGCTTTGCACTCAATGAGGAAGTGCTGTTGCGGTCTTGTGCATTGGAGAGGCGACTGAGCGAAGAGAGAGTGAGCGTAGGCCATTGTAGTCAACGGCGCTGGGCGCCATAGCCATAGCCATAGCTGTAGTATGAGAGAGAGAGAGAGAGAGAGAGAGAGAGAGAGAGAGAGAGAGAGAGAACTGGAGGTGATGGAGAAGACAACTATGTTTGGTGTTGGCTACTGAGACTTCTTTTGGACTTCGTACCTCCTGCATGTATAATGTGTGATGTGATGGGAGATTTGTGTTGGAGTGTTCCATGCATGGTGGTCTCATTGCAAAAAGATCCAAAAGAAAGAAAGAAAAGGAAAGAGCTTCACAGAAAAGAAGATCGAAATTATGGTTTCAGTGTGTCGCATGCTGTCTTCTCTTTTCTTCATTTGTTTCCCAAAGTGTGCTTTTTCAGTTAATAGATATGTTACAATGTATGTAGTCACAGAGAACTGTATGTTGAACTGTAGTAGGAAGAAAGGAAGAAAAGAACAAGAAACAGGGAATTGTGACAGACTGTTTCATTGGAGTTTCACAAGCTCGTCAGGAGGCTGATCCCTTTACAGTCTGCGGAGTCCCCTAGTCATTGATACTGCAAGTGATAATCCACCTTAACCCCAGTTGCGTTTGGGCACAAGCCTAGAACTGATACCCCTCTCAGGTGGGAACCAACCACTGCCCTTGACGGTACCTGTGACCAAAATCAAAGCAGACGATCACCCGTCCACACCAGATGGAAGACTAATCAGACTGCAGGTTCACACCTTCCCATCATCATAAGCCAGCAAAGCCCCCAAGAAACAGAGAAAGGTCTGCACCAGCTGGAAAATATCACTCCATACAAACCGCTACATACATAATGATGATGTTTTCTTGCCACACCAAACAGTCCGCAATGTCATTTATGTCGAAGATCATTCCTCTGTCCCCGTGCTGCAGCAGGACAATGTACCAACGCTCTTCGACCGTCTTCTTTGCACAGGTACAGACACTGTTACGCTCGGCTGTTGGCGCCATCGTCTCTGTCACAATCACTACAATGACATGCGCTCTTTTAGTTCATAGTTATGTGACAATATGTAATATGTGCTTTTGCTGTCCGTCCTTGTCTGTGATGCACGGCAGTTTGCCCTTTGGAACTGAGGTGTGGTTTGCCGGATGGGAACAAGTTGTCGCGGAGCGTAAGTTCTTGGGTTGACTTGTGTGGCGAAATTGTTTCATGGTTTCATGACTGGCAGGAAAGCGGGTCTTATGCACAAAGAATAATCTCGGAGTACTTGTCAGAGATCGAGGAGCGTGCCAAAAGTTTGATTGCGGCCGCAAAGGAAGATCCGAAAAAGCCACCTCTCAAGGAATGAAGGGCACCAACCAGAGTGCCTATTGCTGAACGGTATATCCATGTGGCTTTCGATATGGAGATCATGATATTGAAACTTCAAATGCTGGTGAATACCAAAAAAAAAAAAAAAAAAAAAAAAAAAAAGAAATCATGTTAGGGGCTAACCCCTTTCCTCCAGAAGCAGGCGCACCAACCAAGTGACGCCAAGCCATTGTTTAATTCATCTCCAACATAAGCGTAATCAGAGTCTCTTATCTTGCGCGACTCCGTACCTTTAGGCATATGCATCCCTAGGGGGGTTCTCCTTTCTCCTCCCCCCCTCCCAATGCCCAGATCCTCACTTGCTAACTTGGGACTTAGTGCGTGCCAAATACAGTTGCCACAGCACTAACCCCTGGTATTTCTGCAAGCCATGTGGCTGCCACAGCAAGTCCCCTTGCCTTCGCTGCCCAAGTCGTAAAACAGGGACTTAGTGCGTAGCACTGTGTACTTTCCAGCACAGTGTATAGTACTGTGTACTTCGCAATAGACAAAGTACGAAGCACAGTGCGCGTGCATAAAGCTATGTACTTTGCCGCACACAAACTACACAGAACAGAGCACTCCCAGTACAGAGTACGGAGCACAGAATACTCTGAGGGCAAAGTACCATGTACATAGTCCGCCAGAGTACAGAGTTCAAAGTACATTGGATACTGAATACAGCACACAGTGCATTGAACATAAGAGTACAGAGGACAGAGCACGTTTGAGCACAGAGCACAGCACACATTGAATGCGGAGTATATACCACACAGCACATTTCAGTACATTTTCAGCACAGAGTACAGAGCGCAAAGTATCTTATGTACAGAGTACAGAACGGCGAACGCAGTGTAGACTGAATGCAGAGTGCAGAGGACAGAGTACATCAAAGATGGAGCGCAGAGTACATTGAACACAGAGTACAGATCGCAGAGTGCATTGAGCACAGAGTACAGAGCACAGTACATTGAGCCCAGAGTACAGCGGAAGAGTACAGAGCAAAGAGTGTGGAGGACAGAGTCACTGTCAGGGACAGAGATGTTGGCGATTTCAGAGTGTAAGAAAATGAGTCTATCAGGGCCATGAAAAAAAAGACAACTCCCAGTGGGGAAGGGGGAGGGGGGGGGGGAGGAGGAGGGGGAGCTGCCAGTGAAAGAAATTTTGTGCTCCGTTGTCTCTGCTCTTCATCTCTATCAGGTTCTTTTTTTCTCCTCGTTATCTCAGCCTCGTATTGCTGTCACAAGTCCCCTTTGGCATTCGATTCGGTTCATATAAATCAGACTGCATCATTAATGTCGATTCAAGTTTCAAATCTAAAACAATATAGCTTTTGGCCCTCGGCCGTTCCACTGCGCACCGTCTAAAACAATATAACAATATAGCTTTTGGCCCTCGGTCGTTCCACTGCGCACCGATTTCTTGGTTTTCTTTCTGACTCAGCCTTTGGATCTTGAAGTGGGCGGCCGGGATGTGCACAGAGCTCAATTTCTAGCAGAATATCTCCGTCCTAGAATGTCAACATGTAATTTTTTGCTTCTCCTTGCTTCCTGGTGATCTGGACGTCGGGCGTTTGTTTCACTGTTAGACCATGCCCAGCATGGTGGCGCAGCCCGGGGCTGTGGCCCAGAGAGAGCCGGTTAACTGACCCCCCATTTTTCACCTCAAGTTATAAAAAAACCCATAAGGCCATTTCAAGCAAACTCCACACCAATGTATAGAGTGCACTTCTTACTAACACATTATAAAAAAAAACACCAAAAAAAAAAAACAAAAAAAAAACACATAAAACGGCACCTCAAAAGTGCATTTTCAGGGCTTGGAGTAGCACAATTTTCAATCAGTGTGCGACATTGTGGGGCGGCTCCGGTTTTCTGACTGGTTCCCATTGCCGTTGGGGGGCCCCGTCACGACGAACCGGAGGGAGAGGCGAGGCAGTGTAGCATATTATGCATCGTTTTTTTGTGTAGAAGCTACATGTCAGCGGGCACAGCCAAGAAGTGTTGGAATGCAGACCACATTAGGGACATACAAAAATCTTTCTTTCAATGTAGAGTATTGAAACTTTATATATTGAGTTATATTTTCTGTTTATTTACTCGTGTCCCCCTTTTTTTTTTGTCTTCCTTTTTTGGTTTCATAAGATTTCGCCATGCTTCTGATTAGCTGTCGTGAACATTATAGGTAGGTGGAGAGTGGAGGGAGCGGTCGCGGATCGGCATGGCAGTTGTGTCCTCTTGGTTTTGGTGTTTTTCGACTTTGCTATTAACCAAGGCTGCCATCAACTGAGGTCATACCCTCCAGGTGTGATTGTTGGATCGATCAGGCTTTGATGTAGGTGTGTTGGTGGCATGTCGCTTGTGTTAGGGCCTTTTTTTTGTGAACGAGAAGCTATGAACAGGGGAACAGGTTGTAGATGTTTGTGCTGGTGATGACGTCTGAGTATGTTCAAGCTGGTGATGAGGTCTAAAACCATCTAATTGTAGGGGGGGGGGGGGGGGKGGBCCSCCCCCCCYCCCCCMCMCCCCCYCCTWTGTRGCYCCCGTAGAAATGATCATGCTAGTTTTCGTTATGCTTGCGATGATGTTCAAGTGTGTGAGAGGGAGTCCCAACGACATCATGGTCTTGGTCCGAACGCAACACACCTTAATTTTCACTGTATCGGATGGGAAACATACCTGTTCATTTTCAGGGTGCGTTATATTCGGAGGGGACGACGGTAGCGTTGCATTTAAGTAACCCCTATGGAGTTTGATGCACTGCATCAAGTGAGGTATAAGCCTCTCACTCGGATGGCTTTACCTCATTCACATATATGTCCAGAGACGGCAGTGTGGTGAAGTCTGAGGAGGATTAATTTTATTAAAAACAAAAAAATGAGGCGAGGGTTTGCAGGGAAGTCGGATTAGATGAGGGGAGGAGGAGGAGGAGAATCCCTCTGGATGGAGAAAGGTTCCAACAACAAAGAGCATTCAATTAAGAGCATGCATGTGGATGGGTTTTGGAAAGAGATACAGAACTGCAGACCAATGGCAATTTTTTGCACCTCTTCACAAACACGTTGAGATTCAGGCGTTACATCCAATCCACTTTGCAATTGGGACATAACCCACCTTCGGGCTGTTGGGGTATAACCTTACCCCTTGTTCTGAACCCACAATGTCCAATGATTGGCATTTCCTGAAAGTTGACCGTTTCTTTTTCCATTGCCCGTCTCTGATAACGTGTGGACGTGGCATGGGCGATGCTGGCATTGCAGGCGATGAAAAGTTTGCTATTAACTAAGGAGCAGCACAGTTTTTTTATCAGTGTGCGACATTGTGGGATGTCCAGCAACTGTGCACGGTGGTGACAGGGACGGCTCCCGTTTTCTCACCGGTTTCTCATTGCTGCAGGGGCCCCGCGTCACGGTGAACCAGAGGGAGAGGTGAGGCAGAGTAGTGTACTATGCATTGTTTTTTGGCGTAGAAGCTACATGGCAGTGGGCAGAACTAAGAAGTGTTGGAATGCAGACCACATTAGGGGCATTAAAAAAAATTGTCTTTGAATGTTGAGTAATGAGACTTTATCTATTGAATTATATTTTCTTTGTATTTATTAATTTTATTTTTGTTTCTTTTTCATTTTTTTTGCCTTCCTTTTTTTGGTTTCATAAGTTTCCGTCATGTTTCCGATTAGCTATCGCCAACATCCCACGTGGGTGGAGAGCGGAGGGAGCGGTCGAGGATCGGCATGGCAATTGTGAATTCTTGGTTTTGGTGTTTTTCGAGTTTGCGATTAGCCAAGGCTGCCATCAACTGAGGTCATAGCCTCGAGGTGTGATTGTTGGATCGATCATGCTTTGAAGTAGGTGTGTTGGTGGCATGTCGCTTGTGATGAACAGGGGAACAGGTTGTAGATGTTTGTGCTGGTGATGGTGTCCGAGTATGTTCGAGCTGGTGATGAGGTCTAAGTGTGACCCCCTCCCCCCCCATGTTAGAGGATTGTGTGTAGCGGTCGTAGAAATGATCATTTTAGTTTTCCTCATGCATGTGATGATGTTCAAGTGTGTGGGAGGAGGTAAAGTTCATTTCCCAAAGACATTACTGGTGACGATGTGCAAAACTCCACAGCAAAAAAGCTCAAACACTTTTTTTTTTTTGTTAATTCCTCGATTCCATAGGCACACGAACCCCGCTGCCTATCCAGCGGCCTAGCTCAATTGGTAAGGCACGCAAGTGGCATCCAGGAGGTCTTGGGTTCAATCCCCATTGGCCTGATGTACCTACCTGGGCAAGCTTGGCGCCCGCCACCTACAGATATGCTGTAGGTTCCCCCGAGTGGCATTGAGCAGAGAATGCTGATGTTCATAGAGGGAGGGGACCACCACCTGAGGGGAGGCACAGTGACCGGCCCATCCAAGAAGCTCGGTCCTGATGTTACCGGCTGACCCCTGGCGGGTATCGCCCACCTGCTGTAGCAGGCATCACACCTGCTGACGGGTGCAGCTCCCGCATGTTCCCTCGTTGGGGGCTTGAGCACGGATGTTTCCCCGTAATACTACAATGACAATAAGAAAGGCCTGAAAGACCGTCCTGTCCAGATTTGACAGGTGATTGAATTGGTTGGGCTTAAATTAATTGCCCTTAAAGAGAACACAAGTGGACCCAGTGCGGCGAAGCCGCGCCCCAGTCCTGTCTATAAACCGCAGGAAGTATGGCAATGTCGGTCTGTGTGTGTGTGTGTGTGTAGGATGAGCAAAATCGGAGTGAATCTTCAGCCAGAACATGGAAATATACACTGCCGCACCTTTTTTTTTTTTTTTTTTATGTGTGCATCAACTGAGCAGCCTGCCAATGTGCAAAATGAGAAGGAATCTTCCGCAAGAAACATAGGAAGAAACACCGCGGCGCACAGATACGTTGAAGAGAAATCCCGGTGTGAGTATGGACTAAGGAGCTGTCAGATGCAAATGTCGC